CGGCAGTGGAGGCTCTGGTGGAGGCGGCAGTGGAGGCGGCGGCAGTGGAGGCTCCGGTGGCGGCGGCAGTGGTGGCTCCGGCGGAGGCGGCAGTGGAGGCTCCGGCGGAGGCAGCAGTGGAGGCGGCGGCAGTGGAGGATCCGGTGGTGGCGGCAGTGGTGGCTCCGGCGGTGGCGGCAGTGGAGGCTCCGGCGGTGGCGGCAGTGGTGGCTCCGGCGGTAGCGGCAGTGGTGGCTCCGGTAGCGGAGGCAGCAGTGGTGGCTCCGGCGGTAGCAGCAGCGGATACATATGCATATGCACAGGTAGCACGTTCTTTATAAGTTTGTTTGGTAGCAAGTTCCTTATAAGTTTGTTTGGTAGCAGGTTCCTTATACGTATTGCTTATCAGCGACTTAAAAAGTGGAAATGGTACTTACAACTCTTCCATATCCCAGCATTATTTACCAGTAATAGTAAACTTTGCTATGGATATATATGATGATATATCACGACCCTTGCCTAATGAGAGGGGGTCAGTTCTGTGAAATGTAGCTCCCTTCCCCCACAGGTGATAATCTGTAAGCAAAGAGTCAGGTCAATATTACCAGTTTCCGCGTTGTCCGACAGATATCGACGAATGTGCAGAGGGCACGCACAACTGCCACGAACACGCAACCTGTACTAACACAGACGGCAGTTTTACCTGTTCTTGTAACAACGGTTACAGCGGGGATGGAGTCATCTGTGATGGTAAGAACAAGCTACTTAGCAATTTTTCTGTCAGAATACATGCATTACTTGTATTAATTTTCATTTTTAAAATATCTCATGACCACAGGTTAATTAGCAATTGTTTATTTATTACAATTTTCTTTGAAAAATGTACCCGTAACGAGGGTTACAAAGGAAACGGAGTAAATTGTGAATGTAAGAGAAAAATATTTCTTTCATTGTGCATCCGTAAACCGTATACTGTCATTGCTACTGCCTGACAGAGCTAGCCTCTTGTTTCGTCTTCATTTTTTCCCGCCAGGTAGCACGTTCCTTATGTTTTGCTTTTTGTTTTGCAACCTTTGTCTTCTCTAAACGCGACCAAACCATCTTTAAAAAGATGTCCACTCCAAGCATAGCTCGAATTTCCTCGTTTCTTGCCTTTGCCTCTTCTTCAGACATTTAGGATCCACGTCTCACAAGCATATAGGGAAAATAAGGGTATGCAGCAGACTGGTTTAGAGACCTGACCTCTTTCCTATTCCAAACTGTTTTCCTGAGTCTGCCAAAGGCAGACGCGGCAAGGGCAACTTACTTTTTAACATAGCTTGTTGTACCTGATATAACACTTACTAGAAATACGATTTTTTAAAACTTTTCCAACGGTGGGCCCCTCTATGCCTGGGCTCTTCCTCTAGCTCTTATAACTTGACCGCGTTAACCTCGCTCTAACACTATACTTTCCATTCGTCGTTAACACTTCTCGTGAGTAGTTGAATATCCCGCCTTCCCTCACACTAACCAGGCACTTCAACCTTACGTTCGCCCCCTACTCTTGTATCGTTGCCGTTTTTTCTTCAGGTTCCCGGTCAAAGTTTAGAGTAAGTGCGCGGTAATATGGTCGGAATGTCATATTTTTTAACGTCTTGTAATATTTTTAGATGTGATGAGGTCGAGTTTTAGATTTATTTTGTTTATTGTTCGCTTTAAACTCACAAAATAAAATGAAATATAACAATTAAAGTTAAGTAGACATGCATGGGAGGGCCGGAGAGCTGGTGCTATTTTTAAGAAGCATGATATACGGCTTATATTCTTTCTATTCTTTTCTTTCTAAGTATATAAGATGTTTCTCAACGATTATGTTTTTTTTTTCAACGTAAGAAATATTTTTTGGGCCCAATATTTACATTTTTCTACCCCAAATGACAACCCAAAACTCTACCGGAAGCCGACTTGAAAATATCGGATCACCGATATAAGGAGATTTTACTTCTATTGTATTTCCCCTATTGTGTACTAGTTTTATTACCTTTTGCGTTTCAACGACTCATGTAACTATTACTAGCCGGCAACTGCATCCTTTCAATTAAGACCATTTTCATATCTCGCTACATCTTTTGCACTTCTTACTTTCTTATTATGAACTTTTAAGCCCCTGTTTCTGGTGTACATGCCTACCTCGTTGTGCTGTCCCTACTTGATAACAAATTCCCATTTACCTGCTAGCTGTAAACTAACCTTTCAACCTTTATGATCATTTCCGAATTATTATTCATTATGCATGGACATTTTTCATAATCTCAGCTTGTCATCAAACCTGTCTTAGCAATTTCTTATGTTTATTTGTAAATTAACAGTTACAGATAGCAGTGGCTCAAGCAGCACCGGTGGCTCTACCAGCAGTGGCGGCTCCGATAGCTCGGCGGTGGATCAGGCAGCCTAGGCGGCTCTAGTAGCCAAAGCTCAATGGAAATGGGAAACTATTAAATGTATAAGATGATTGCGACAGTTGGAAGACACTATTGGGGAAAGAAATAACACATCATCTGCATCCCCGAGAAAATAATACCGTTTTGGAATAGAATTATTCTCGATCTACCCTAGATTCTACGCTACTTATAGATGCTTAAAGAAATAATTACATTCTAGTTAGTGATGCTAAAGCAAGTAAATCCATTGTTTTTAGTGATACTAAAGACGGTTTTGCCTTGAGTCGTAGCCAAAATCTTTTTGTTGTTTTCACGGGTTTTAGGGACCCATGCGTTTTATTTCCGACAGAATCTTTTTCGCCAAACAGCTAGATTTCTCTGCACCTAGTTTTATCAACTATTGACAGGCTGAATAAAAGTACCATAGGGGAACTATGTGGCTATAGATATGTTACCGATGGACGACTGCTGTTTCAAGGATTTCGGTTAGCTTTAGGAATTAATCTACTCGCCGCTTTAAACAACTACTTTGTTCCAAAGGTACCTATACATAATTATCAACATGGGCGCCAATAAAACATCTACATGTCTAGAATACAACCGTGTTAAAACCGGGTGCTGCAATATGATAGAATGCCGCCAGAGGACTCTAGTTTTGCTGTAGAACGCCTACCAACAGATACAAATATCATACAGATATATCATACAGATGTATCCACAGCTTCTCGTGTGATGATTTCCATAAACAAACCTACAAGTGGCACATAAGATATGGTGATTTAAGTATCGGGTCACATAAACGATAACATATTCCAAACGTCCTTGGAAAAACGACATATAGCTACAGATGTAGGCATATAGATACTTGTTGTAAGTTGGTGACGGCAATGGTAGTGTTAATAATATTAATTTTATTCTAAGCCGTCAGGTAGAAACATCAATATTCAAGATATCAATACACAAGATGACAAAGTAGCTATATCTTAAGGTAAAGAGTAATGTTAATTAGCGATATTGAATAGCCGTCAATTTCCAGCAGTTCATTATAGTAATTTCTTTTTAATTTTAAGATAACTTTATTCGCATTACACATTTCATCGATCATCGCACCATGAGGCGATAATAGATATAGTACATACACTAATTAAATTTAGTACTGCAAAGCTATTTTATCTTCTACTCAAATTAAAAGGTAAAGTTAATTACTACTTTTAGCTCTTTGCAATAGAACTGTCACTTCACACCTTTATCCCGTAGGAAAATTATATCTTTATGGCTTATACATATGTAACCAAGAAACATGCAATAAATAGTGATAGACAATGTCTGCGTTTTGCCATTCATTTTTTGTCTGTTTGTAAGGTTAGAAGTATATTTCCGTCAGAAGTTAAAACAATGACTCACGAACCTGATAAGCGAGACACTAACATCTTCAGTAAGTTGCTGAAATCCTCTCGAGGTATCTCGTTGGCAACATCTTTTATTTTCCATTCCAGTATGTAATTATCCATTAAAATGAAACTAACCCTTGTCCTGCTGGCATTCCTGGCACAATATTTTTCAATATTTTCATGTCTTAATTAGATTTAAAAAAAAAACATTTTTTTTTGCCTTGCAGTGGCATAGTTACTTCCGCATTCGTTGCGTTTCGCTGCGGTGTAATCCGTTGCACGAGAAATACCCCCAAATCGTACCTATGCAGGGTGTTATATAGATGGTACTGAATGTGCCGCGCAACATATGTTGCGCACAGCAGGACAAGGGCTAAGATGATGGGAATATGCATATTAGATGAGAATATATTTTTAGCCGTGGCATTCTAAGGTTCTCTGACAAGATACAAAACAATGTGCGGGAAACAAGAAACAGGCAAGCAAGAAAACAAACAGTAAAATCATGTTGTGAATAGGTGTCTTCGAAATTATAACATTATAGTCTAAAAACCATTAACGTTGGACAAGGAGGTTATTTATTTCTATTACAACCTCCTCGTGCTGATATGTGAAATAGACAGAGAATGGGAATCCAACTTATTGAATATGAATATGAAATTATCGTGATAAGCCTTTTTCCACGTAGAATTCGTCAAAATTAGTCTATGATCTCCAACTCAACACACCTAGACTATGGCAAATGTCTTGCTATCTGACTATTTATAACACTGTTTGGTATGTATCGTCCCGAACAAAAAAACAATGCAAAACGTCACAGATCGGTTTTACTCCTGGAATGTCTTGACAAGCAGAGAAACATAATGAAGTAGTACATATTTAACGGGCTGGGTCAATGAATAATCTTACAGAACTACACTACATCACAAAACAAGTTGAATAATCATTGATAAAGACTCAATCCCTAGGTGTAGTAAACAAACTAAAAAGCCATCACAAATAAAGCCTTGTCCCCCTAGTTCCAACGAAAAGAATAATTGCCTCTATTCTAAATATGACAAATAAAGTGGGATCGTGTGGCGTAATCGGTAGCGTGTTCGGCCCGACCAAGAGGTCCCAAGTTCGAATCCTACCATGTCACCGATCTTGTGCCCTTGGTAAAGGCACTTTGCACATCTTTCCTCACTTCTCTCGGGTAGAAAGGAGTACATAGCTTCGGATAGGGACGTCCCTCGGATAGGACGTAAAATGGAGGTCCTGTATTTGGGGAGAACCACACCACACGCACGTTAAAGAACCCACCGCACTTATCGAAAAGAGCAGGGAACCTTCCCGGTGTGAGTGGTTCAAACCTCACAGTCCTGTCTTACGCAGCTTGCACTCACATGTACAAAACTGTGTTACGCATGAAAGCGATTTACCTGTTAAGCGAAACAAACAAACATGACCTGATGCATTGACATTTCAACTTCTACTGTTATTCACGTATTTTCAATTTTGAGCTGAATTCTACGTTTTGCCAATGTCATCACCCCAATTAAGCCTGCGAAAAGTGTTATGACATGTGAGTGTAATATTTAATGAATGAATAAATGAATAAACCATTACTACTACTTTCACATAAGTGCCGTGTGTACAACACATAAAACCAATATGTTACTTCATGATGTAGTTCCAATTTAAAAGTACAGCATATATAAGATTCTCAAAAATGTAAGACGTGAACAAAGCCCCGAGCTAATAGAACACCTTATCATTGACCGACCTGCTTTCAGCGTGATGTTCACTATGAAACTAGCAATCACATACAATGAAACAAGAGTTCCGAGATCTCACACCTCCATGAAATATGGGCTTGATATTTAAATGTAAATTTATTCTTTAATTACGCAAGTGACCTCTGAATTAACATAATATATGCATCGTGCTGTTAACTTTTGATTAACTTACAGATGTCCCAAGTGACATTCCCATCATTCACCATTAAGAAATCATTTAATTTTCGCATTAATTATGCAAATTAGGTCATCATTTGCATAATTAGTATCTGTTGATGTTCCATCTGCCATAGGTTACATACATTACATGTATCAAAGTACTATAATGTAAAACACTGTAATTATAGAATTTCCTCATTAATTATGCAAATAAAGTCCTCATTTGCATAATTTGGATTTGATTATGTACATCTCTCTCTCAGCTACCTACCTACCAAAAATGATGAAAATACGTTGTTCCTATCTGGACTTATTGGCTTTCAAAGATTTCGCCCGAAGGTCCCCTGCAGTTCCAGAACAAGCTGCTAGGGGGACCAAACCCATACCACTTATTCCTGACAGGAAAAAGTATCTGTCACCAAAACATCAAGACCATAGCATGTTCATTACAAAAGATACAAAAACCGGACGTTCTGCTGCAGTACCAAGGTCATCCACCAGGAGGCCCATATTTGACCTTGACCTTCGTCTTCCTAAGACTTACCAGCATACCAAATATCATCACAATCCATAAAGGCGTTATGAAGTTATGCTGACTACAAATGTGCGGAAACACAAACACACACACACACAGACAGACAGACAGACACACACACACAGACAGACAGACACACAGACAGACGCACCTCCTTGTTTCATGGAGGTAATTATACTTCGGTTTGGTTTGAGCGAATGAACGGGGGAGGGGGGTATCATGGAGTTTCATGATGGAGTATGATCTTAAACGTGCAATACAAAGGCTCTATTGCAACAAAAAGCCTTAATTATATAGCTTAGACGTTACTTATATCTACAAAACAGCCATGTTTCACCACAAAACACTCGTATAATGATTACAACCTGAATTGTAAAAGATGGGGAAGTCTCGTGGATACTCGCAGATGGATTTACATGGAAAAGAAGAAGCGCGAGATTTAAATATCATCTTTTAAAAATGGAAACTGTGCAGAGAAGATACGCATATGTAGATTGTGGTTCCCAAAAATCTTTAAGCTTTCAGTGGCCCGAGTAAACAATTTTGTTTGGTGTATTACTATTTACTATTCAGCGGGCTGAGTGTGTACTGAGAGTGTGCAATTTATAATATCATGCATAGTGGACGAAGTTCAGAGAACAGCAGCTATTTCAACAAAAAAACGATGATCTACTGCCTATGTTACAGGCGGTATATCTTTTCCATTTTTTAGTACTTAGTGGGTCTCATCTTATACCAATGTATTTTACATAATTGATATTTGAGAAGGAGGAGTTTGAGCGTGACAAAAAATAATAGAAAAAGACGGGGTCGTAGTCGATGAGCAGCCACCGTAGAATAGTAAAACGCGTCCTTAAGGTCATATTGAAGGGTGTCTTCACTCTATCGACAGAATACCTTGAGCGAACAGCGGCTAGTAGCTTGTTATATCCAGAGCAATAGTCTTCAAACATGACCAAATCAATCATTCCATGCGTAGCCCTGTTTTTTTGTGCGTAAAAACAGACCACAAGCGTCAGTGATATCATATATGAGATGTTATATTGACGTCCCATGGTCGTCAGTAAAGCACAGAAAAGTTGAAAAGTACGTCAAGGTAATAACTGCAGCTCACACAGCGTTATTAAATGTTTATGGTTATTGATTTTAATAGCTGAGATGAAAGGGCCCCAGCTATAGAAGATTTGAAAAGAGATACGGCACCAACATATAAATGCAGGGATCAAATACAATGTTGTGCAAAGATATTGACTGTATCAGACATTGTTCTGGTTGCTTGTATACGGTTGAGTTGAATATTCAAGTACACTTACACTGTAGTTAATTTTATGGTATCTTATAGAGTTGTATTAACCAGATACACAAAACAGTCGCAAAGCCGCTATGATGAAACGTAGACAGATCAAAGTCCTGATCCCGGCATATGCGTGGGTTGTTGTTTACTGACAACAGAGGAGAACGTGCGATGTTACAGACACCTGCGCAGACCAGTTGGGATATTGCCACAAGTTGGGGAAGTTACTGATTGGTAGAGAGGTGATCTCGTGATGCTCCGAGAATACGGACCAATGGGAGCAGCTCAGGTTTGAGGCGACAAAACGGTCCGTACCTGACACGCTGGCGTATTTCGACGTCGTCTCTCGACGACTTTAGAAGATCGTGTTCTTTGAA